AGTCTTTTAAGGTATAATTGATAAGATTTTTTTTCAAAAAAAATCATTAATTATATATTTTAATTAGTAAGATTTTTTAATTGAAATAAAGTAGACATACAAAATTTGTAATTTTAAACATAATTAATTAACTCATTAGTGGTGTAATCGAATTAAGAATGCCTTGTGATATTGAGAGAAGCGAGTGTGAATTAATATATGGTTAATTATTAATTATTATAATATTCCCTTTGATCCACAGAATAGGGAATTTCCAACATGCATGTATCATATATATATATATATATAATTAAACAATTTTTATTTCTTTCTAATTCTCATAAAAAAATCGACTTTTTTTTTTAAATTTTGTCTTTATTTATAACTGATATTCACAATTTTTCGCATAATTATTGATCGGTACATAATAACCAAAAGAAGGGGAAAATAAAAAGACATTTTTAAAACTTCCAAAATGTCATAATTTTATGTCCTATAAAATCTCTTACATTATGAATCTGTGGGAGTATAGAGTTAATAACCATTGATAAGGACACAAATGTGGGTTTACTTTTCTGGACTTTTGAAAATAATGAATAAAAGAATATAAGAATAAAGATAAACTTTTCCTAGAAGAGAATTTAAGCTTGAATCAGCTTTTGAAGTTAATTCTTTTTTTTTTTTGGGCAAAAAAGCCTTACAAATGAAAGTAGATCATAGAATGGCAAGAAGAAAAGAAAAATTCAGCAGGCCACTTCGTCTTCAATTTAAACAAAGAAGCGGAAATAAAACATTTGAACATTTGGAGAATGTCAAGTGAGATGCTGTTGATATTTCCTGTGTCTGCAAATGGAGTAGAAACATCTTGATGATGACATACCTAAAGATAATTCTAGAAAAAAAGAAAAGAAAAGTAATATCCACCTTTCTTGAGTGAAAACGAACAAAAATGAGTTTTACTTCCATAGTTTCTATGTGCTTTTTTGTTATTTTTTCTTTTTAATTTAAGTAAAATTGGTTGAAATGGTAAGATGGTTTCAATGAGAAAACTTTATTAATAAGTAATACATTATTTTCTTAAGATACTAATTTCTAATTAAATTAAGATATGTAAATTTCTTATATATTATTTATTTATAATAAACCATTATTGTTAATATTATTAACACATCAAAATTTACCTGTCTTAATTTGATTGTATAAAAATATTTTAAATATATAAGGTTAAAGTATACCTAAATGTTCCCCATTAATATAAAGGTTAATAAGCATTCTAAACTCTAAACTTTTGCATGAATAGCACCATTGATTATGAACTCTTACAATATATAAAAACTCTCTTCAACTTTTAAATTTTAAAAACCTAAAACCTCAATGTTAAGTTGGAGAAAATAGTCGTTACTTTTGTAGTTATGGGGCCTAGTTTCTTATTGATGTGGCATTTATCTTAACCCTTAAAAATAATGGTCGTTTATCTTCAATTTAATGGTGAGGTTTCAGATATTTAGGATTTAAAAATTGAGAGGAGTTTTTACATATTTCAAAAGTTTAAAGTTTAAGATACTATTAACACAGTAATTTAAGATCTAAAATGCTCATTCGCACTTAATATAGATAAATTCATACGTAGATTGGATGAGCCACGTCATTTGTGATCTATCCAATAAAAACATGCCATTTAAATGGTATTAAATATAAATTAATTCTTATATTAATAATAGTAGAGAGATAAAAAAAGAAATTAAATACGTATTTTGTTATAAGAATAAAATCAACTAAAAAAATCATAAAATATTTTAGTTAGATTACTTGAGGTTTTTAATTGGATATATAATAAATGATGTGATGCACCCAATTTATTTAAATATTTCTATTCAATTAATTGTCATTATTGAACTCCGGCAAAAATCCTTTTTTTTTTTTGGTAGTTTGTTTAATACCATTCTCCATGATAAATTTGTCCATTTTTAACGGAATGGGAGATTTACGCATGGAATGATTTGGTAATTTACATCAATATCCTTACCAATTAACAATAAGTTATTCGATGATACTTACTCCCTTCGGACCAAAATTTGGGGCGTTAATAATTAATTCACGATTCTCAAAAAATATTAGTTAAAATTTTAATTTCTTAAAAAAATTTATATTTTTTTAATTTTACCTTTATTAAATATCCTATATAAGTGCTTTGATAATGATAATTAAGATTCTAACACATTTTTTTCAACAAAAGTAATAAATAAAGTAGGGGTATAATTAAAAAATAAATTATAAAAGTTACATAATGTCCTATATTTTGGACCAAGTAAAATTTCTAGAAGATACTGTATATTGTGGTATGGAGGGAGTACTTAATTATCAATCCCTTCATTTGAGTTTATAAATTTTTTAAATAAAATTATACATATCAATAAAGTTCATTATATAAACTTTATAATCATGACCTTATTTTTTAAAAATATAAATATAAATTTTTAAAAATATTCTTTATTTAATATAACTTTAACTATATATTGAGAGAGAGAGAGAGAGAGAATATAACAAGGAGGAAAGAGTATTATTGGAACAAGTATAATGAATGAATTTTTATTTTTATCAAAGTGTTTCATATTTTATAATACCAAATCATCTCAAAAATTTAAGGGTGTGGATTCACACAAGGAAACCAAAATGCTCTCAGCCGCAAACTATAAGGAAGCCAGCATTAACTTTTCAAACATTCAAAATAAAAATATACTCTCTTTTTTAATGATACATCAAACATTCTTATTTTATTCTTGCAAAAATACTCCTTCTGATCATTTTTATATGAACATGTTAAAGCCAATTTCTTAATATTAGGGAAATTAGTTAAAATTAATTAATTATAAAAAAATTTGACGAATTTTCAAAATATGGTGTAGTTCATTAGGAGAAAGGATGAAATGCCATTAATTAAACTAAGAGCAAAAAGGAAAAGAAGTTAAGAACACTTTTTTATTTAAATGAGGGCGTACAAATTTTGTAAAAGAAAAAAAAATCTGTACTTCCTCCTGTCTTAAATATATAAACTAGTACGTACTAATGATTTTATAGCCTAGCAGTGTGCAAGTTTTTTTGTAAAAAGATAACGAATATTTACTTTAATTTAACGATAGAGTAAAATTATATTAATTTTAATTGTTTAGAATTTAGATTATATTAAATAAGAGTTTTGAGTTCAAACTGTTCTTACACCTATAACTTAGAATCCCAATTGCATATTAATCTGAATCTATTTTGATCCTAAATATGAGATTTTAATCTCTTTGTCTTCCATATTATTATTATTATTATTATTATTATTATTGTTATTCAAACTATCCATATCGATAGCACAGATTATCAATAAATGTAGTTTACAATGTAAATAATGATTAAAAAGATGGATATTTTATGAAAACAAGCCCGCATTTCAAATAATTAACTTAACTAATTTTAATATTAATTTTTAAACTTTAAGTCTCACAATTTTTTTGAAAAAATTGAGTTTTCTATATTTTTAAGTATTCTTAAAAGTATATCTTATATTTTTATAATAATAAAAATAATTAATTTTAAAGTAAAAATTAAAATCTGTTTAAGAAAAAGAAAAAATGTGACAATTCAAGTATTCACCCAGCTTTAATAAACTCGAAGCTCAAGATTGTTAGGCTGTGTCTGATTATATAATTTTTTTTTTATAAGTTCAAGTTTATTTGAATTTGCCAAAATAAATTCAGTCCAACTTGAGCTAGATTCGCTTGAATTATTATCCCTAACTTTTACTTAGAAGATGACCATGGAGGGAGTATTAAAAAATTAGTGGCAAGCATAAAAGCCAACAAAGTGTTTGGTGAAGCAAATAGAAAGTTCTGTATATCAAAAGCTACTCCTTCTTGTCTTTAATATGAGATAATCTTTAATATAAGATAAAGTTTTACTAATTAAGGCTTTTTTTTTCAATTTACCCATTATATATTAATTATTGTTTGAATTTTTATATAACAATTTATTATGATTATTAATTAAGGAGAATTTCATCACAAGACCAAGGATGAGACTTTCTTTTACATCAGTCTCAAAAAATTTTGAAATTACACCACAGGATTAATGTATTAAATTGAAATTATACTTTCATAAAGAAATGATTAAAATACCTTTCAATTAATTTTTTTTTTTGGAAAAATATAACCCACAGTTCGCTCTCCCTCTCCTGGCTTTCAACATTTCCACAGCCATAATCCCTACAACCTTATGTAGCATGCCCGATTTAAAATATAAATATTTTTTTAATTAATTTTAGTTTAAAATATAAGTAATTTAATACATATAAAAAAATTTTATTTTATCTCTTATATTTATTAACGTAGGTATTTATGTAAATATAACTTTCATTCATCATAAAGAGTGATAAAAATAATAATAAAAAGTGGGGGTTGAAAAAAAATATTCCCTTCATCCCAAATTATAAAATATTTTTAGATAAAAACTTATATATCAATAAATTTATTAACTACACTTAACAACTTTATTTTTTTCAAAACAAAAATGTAAAATTTTAAAAATACTCATCATTTAATATATTAAAAATAGAAGTGATAAAAATTAACTATAGAAATAGAAAGGATAATATTAAAATTAGTGTATTTAATAAAACTTTAATCTACTCAAAGTGTCTTATATTTTGAGATGAAGAAATTCTTTTCAAAGTATCCTATAATTTAAGAGAGATTACAAAACTTTTGAGTGATTTTAAAACTATGCACAGTCAAACTATCGGCATTATAGTTAAATTCACAGTAAACAAAATTAAGAGAAGCATTACAAGTAAAGTAGACTAAATCACGGCTCCTTCAAATGATAGCATAGTAGAAATGATCCTCAATCTGATCTCTAGCCATCAGATATATAACTGCTACAATATCGAGCAATGAGCGACGCACCAAATGTTTGAATATCTTTGTGGGGCCATCTATGGGAGCCCAGCAAGATGCGCTTCTATAAATCTCCATTTCACCTTCTCTTTCTCTCCCCACCATCCCTCTCTCCCCGTTTCGTCACAAAAAGTGGTTCTTCTGAGACCGAAACGTTTCGTGGCGAGTAACAATGGGAAGAGGAAGACCCCAGCAACGGTATCGCGGTGTTCGCCAGAGGCATTGGGGCTCCTGGGTCTCCGAGATTCGGCACCCCACCTTGTAACTCTCTCTCAACTCTCTATCTCATAATTAGTTCTTATTTTCTCCTCTCATATATACTCTTTTTATATCTCAGTTTTAGTTCTCTGGTGACTTCTTTTTTAAACAAATCAAAACAATTAAATCATATGATTTTAATATCTAAAAATTATATTTTAGTGGTCGATTGGATCGAATCTAAAGGATTTGATTCTTCTCAAAGAATATTGATTATTTAAATACTGTAGATAAAAAAAATTCTTACACAAATAATTACCTCTAATTGGACTGATGAAATTGGATATCAAATATTTTTATGAGAAAAAAAATACACTTTTTGGTTAATTACCATCAAAATTTACATTTTAAAGAAGTAATTAATTAAAAATTTTCCTTTTACAGTTGACGGCTTCTTCTTCTTCTTTTTTTGGGTATTAGTTCTTCTGTTCTTGGTGCTAGCGTGCAGTCCAATACGAGGCGTTTCTGCCTTTCTGGAATCTAACGAAACGTTTTTATTGATGAAGGAAGACGAGAATATGGCTGGGGACATTTGAAACAGCAGAAGATGCTGCGAGAGCCTATGACGAAGCAGCCAGGCTTATGTGTGGCCCCAAAGCCATAACCAATCTCTCTCCTCCTCCTCCTCCTTCTTCCTCTCACTTTCTCTCTCCAACTTTAACAGCCAAGCTTCTTCACAAGTGCCACATGGCTCCCCTTTCCCTCCCGATGAAGAAGAAACACCAGTCCCAGCAACATCGTCCTCGTCATCATCAACCAGCTGAAGAAGAGGAATTACAGACGCAGACATCTGTTAATTATCCCTCCGCCGGCAATTCTGTCGCCCAACCGAGCTCTGACACCGGATTTTTCCGGTGGCCGGAGAATGCGAAACATGAGGAGGAAAGACTTCAGGTGGAAGTGCTTGAAGATGATGACATTGAGCAGATGATTCAAGAGTTACTTCATTATGGCTCTGTTGAGCTTTCTTCTTCTCCCTCTCCTTCGTTGAACCAACATTCATGAGTCTTACTCGAGTTTAAATTATAAAAATTGAGTTATATTGTATATGCAAAAATTATTATATAATTTTTCGTCCTGTTGAACGTGGGTTGAAACTAATACAACTTTACTTTTATAATTTTATTTATTTAAACTCTAGGTCCCTACCCATACGCCTACACTTTAAAAATTAAAGTTATTATAAAAGTTTAAAAACTAATATTTTAAATAATTAAAATTAAAAAGATTATATTGAGTTAAAATTTATAAATTAAATTACAATCAAATTAAATTATAAAGGTTGAGTTGTATATAAATGAAGCATCGGTAAAGAGAGACGCTGAATGATTAACTTTTTCAAAAAGTAATTAAATTTAGGAAAATCATAACTTTTAATTTCTATATTTTCCTCATATTTTGTTATAGATCTCTATATTTTTTTAAGTATTTTAAGTTTTCACACTTTCATTTGTTAATATTCTAGGCCCCTATACTTTTTTCTTTTAGGGATCTAAAACATCAAAAAAAAAGTACAAGAACTTATAACAAAACATGAGCAAAGTATATGGTTCAAAAGTTATGTTTTACCTAAAATTTATGAAAAGCCTTGATATAATTTAAAAATTTATTTATACCTACACGTGTAATAGGATACATTTCATCTCATCTTTAACATAAGACATCTCTAACTACCTCACCAAAATATTTGAGAGGTAGTTAAGTCATTAACTTTGTCCGAAAATAGAATAAACTCTCATTTTTACTCATATTTAAATGAAAAAAAATTTATATTTACATTTGATTATTGATCTTTAAATAGGGATAATATTGAAAAAAATAATATTCCCATAAAAAAGGATCAAATTTTTTTTCTAAATGGTGACCAGTAATAGAGATATCGGAGGGAGCAGTGTCCCATTCTTAACTACAAATACACAAAGAATTTCAACGATATGCCAGTTAAATGAGTGGGAAGGCATGTGATGGACTGAATATATAATGTTGTGTATGTCAATCATATAAAATCAATGAATTATCATAATAACAAGAGGTGTTCAAATTGCATTAACCTTAGTTGGCCCGTGCTGGTCCCATTCAAGTTTAAAAAGATTTGTCCGACTCGAAAAAAATTAGAACGAAACATTTGCTGGACAAGATGGAAAAAGAATCAAAATGATAGGACTCAGGATATCTTTTAAGACGTCCCATTTTAATATTATATACTTTTTTTATTAAAAAATATAAGACATTTTTAAACGAATTTTATTCTTCAATAAAATAGTTACATACTTTTTAACTAACTTTATCTTTTCATATTTATTTTTATTAAATAATTTATAATAAATATAAAGTCATTATTAATAAGGGCACTTTAAAAAAAAAATAATTATTACACCTCAAAAGACTAAAAATATCTTACATTTTTTAACATCTAACTTCTCAAAAAATATCTTATAATTTTTAATGGAGGGAGTATATATATATACATTATTATTATTATTATTATTATTATTATTATTATTATTATTATTATTATTATTAACTATGGTTTCCACCTTCTAATTTCGCTTTTCTCTGGGTAAATTGTGATCAATCACTTGCCTAAAAATCTACAGAATTCTTTAATCAATAATAACGTGGGGACTCTCTGCCTGTATTAAGATATGATATATCCTTGCCTTTTATTTGTTTGTACATATATTTATCATCTTTATCTACACAAAGAAGCTTTCGATATTATAACAAGGAAAAGAAACGGGATCAATAATGATCACAATAGTCAAGTTAATCTAAAACTTGTCAAATTAAATGAAATATATATATATATATATATATAGAAAATTGACCAGAGTTAAGTCTAGTAAAAATAATTATTGGATTATTTATCCTTAGTAGATCAAGACCCAAAATAAAAGCTCAATAAGAATGGAGACTTTATTAGAAGGGAGAATGACAAGTAAAGACCATATAAAAACATTAATGTTAAATTAAAATTTTTCAACATTCTTGATGAACCAATGTTGATATGTTAATTAAATTAAACTCGATCAATAATTTACCATTTACATGATCAATTTAATCACAAGTAGATCTTTATATTAAAAAGACAAATTGAAATGAGAATCAAGAATCTTGTTTCCACCCATTAATTCCAATTACAGATATCTAATTATTGAAGTCACATTGAATGACCATCAGGAGATAGCCTTATTCTCATTGTTGTGCTAAGGCATTAAGGTTAATTGAAGCGATCCATTATTATCAACCGTACTATTTAAAAGCTATAAATAGTATAACTCATCATTATTTTATATTTTTTTTAAATTTCACTCCCATGCTTAATTATGGCACATTATACTCTTAAAGTCACCCTTCATTCAAAAGTAAAGGAAATCAATGTCCACATATGTATATGTATATGTGCAAGACTTAAATAGATAGTCTTATATATTTAATATATTTTTATCTTATTAGATCAAAACAAGTTAATTTTATTGTGTTAATAATAAAAAACAATAAGACTTTTTTTATGGAATAAATAATTTATAAAAGATTAATGTGTCTTGATTTAATTAAAAACAAGCACTTTAAGTATATAAGACTACGCATGATATACACACACACATATCTCTAGAAATGACACTTGGTAATTGGTTTGAGTTCTATGGATTGCATTTACACCTTAAACAAATAAACATTCTTATTGAGCATTATTCGATCCTTTTGTTCATTAAAACCTTTTGATCTTGCACTCTCATTTTTCCTCCCGCTTTCATTCTCAATACTCAAAAGCAATCTCACTCATTTAAAATAAATATTTTGATAATCATCTCCCAATCAGACACATTGGACTAGCAACGAACTCATTATGCATAATTGGGCTATTACAATTAATCATATTTTCAGAGAAGCAAATACCTGTATTGATTGGTTAACTCATCATGCTAATCAAGACACGTTTAATGTTACTATCTATAATGACCCACTCTTAGGATGCAGAAGCTTGTTATTAGCTGACCAAACTTAGTTTTTAGTTTTATTCCCGCGTGATTTCATCATGACCTTTGCATTCCCACACAAAAAGGAAAAAAAAAAAAAACTAAATAAGCTCTTCATTTGTAAACTTCATCGAGTACGTTTGAATATTTGATCATGCCTAGCTTCCTTATCATACACATATTTAACACCTCACCCCGGCGTCAAATTATTGTAATTTTAAATTAAGATTTGTATGTGGGTGTGGTGTGTATACACACACACTCTCCATCCATTTAGAATTATAAAACGCTTTAACTGATTAACACTCTAATAATAAATTAATTAATGACATTTAAAATTACAAATTCTTTCAATATTTATTCTTATTTAATGGAGTATTTTAATTAAAAAATCTTATTAACTACACTCTTAAGGACAACTTTGAAAAAAAATTATTAATTACATGTTGAAAGACAAATAATAGCTTATATTTTTTGACATAGTATTTTTCCTATTTTTTGACATGATATTTTTCCTTTAAAATATCATGTCAAAAAATATAACTCAACTCTTAAATTTTAATTTGTTGTAATTTAGTCCTTAAAATTTTAATTCAATTATAACTCAATTTTTAAAATTTGACTTTTGTAACTCAATCATTATATTTGTAACCATGTAAAATATTAGTTCTTATATTTTTAAAAAAAAATTATAATATATTAAAATTATATTAAAATTTATGAATAATATTTTAAATTACTAAACACTTTTAATCTTTATAGAGAATATAAATATTAAAATTTTAAAATATTTTTAATTTTTAAAACATAAGAATTAATATTTAAATGGTTAAAACTATAGAAATTAAGTTGTAAAAAAAAATTTAGAAATTAAGTTATAATCAATTTAAAACTATAATAATTAAATTATAATAATTTAAAATTTTATAATTATGTTATAACAGAGTTAAAATTATATAAATTAAATGATTAATTTTGTATAATTTTAAAAATAATATCCTGAATGGAGGGAGATAGTATATAGGTTTTGATGTCAACTTTAATGGCGTGGATAGGATTATTGCAGTCCATGCTTACAATGAAGACATTGATTGGTTGCTACAGAGGTCCCACATGTTCCTAGGCATGCCAATCATAGATTCCAATGAATTATTGTCAAACATTGAAGCTGATAATCATTTATATATCAACCTTATTACCTTAAAGTGAACATTTCCGGCTATATATAAACACATAAAGGAACAAAGTGAACAAACCTGATCTTCTAAAGTTCAAGCCTTTAGATTTTGTGAAATTCTACTCCAAATATAACCTACTCCCTCCAGTTCAAAAAGTCAATCGTTTTTCTTGACTAATCTTTGTCCAAAATGTAAAAAACTTAGTATTTGTAGAAATTATTTTCCTTATTTTGCACATTGTATTTATTAACCTGGTTTCTTGTGTGTCTCATCATCATTTTAAATCTCTTTCTAATTTAATTCATCATTGGTGGTAAAAAGAAAAAAAAAACTATGATATATTTTCACAAAAATAAAGATACAATTAAATTTTGTTGATATGCATATTATAATTGAAAGTTGCTTACATTTTAAATTGAGGGAGTACTTTGTAGTTTACTCTTTAAAATTTATTTTATAAGACATTTTTGGATGTGAATTGGTTTATCAAAATGTAAGATATTTTGAAAAAAAATGAGGCTTTATTAATTATGATCATCACAATTTTACCCCTCATTATTCACTCCTTAAATATATTTCTTCCCCCTCTCTTATATATTAATGAAGGGCAACATTTTTGCAAATTTAAAAAAAATTAATATTATAAATTATATTTAATAAGTTTTATTGATATGTGTAATTTTATTTTAAAAAATATTTTATAAATGGAGATAAAGAGTAGAGAAAGTATATTTAATATATACACCCACGTGTAAACAGAGTTTTGCAAAGGTATTTTCACGTGTTAACATGTATCACATCTATTAAGAAAATTAATTCATTTTTCATATCTCATGAAAAATTGACTTTTTCGTTTTTCATCTTTTTTTCTTTAATTCACGATTAGCACTCACAATTCCCATTTATACTTACTCGGTGCACATTAAGTTACAG